GTTTTACAGGTATTTTGCCTCTGCGTTGGACACGTTTTTTTACTCGGCCGTAAATGTTTCATCGTCGACACACTTTGTGTACGTTTGTTAGCCACCAGTCAGCTCATACGATAGCAAGCGTTCCTTCAGAATCTTTGAATGTCATCAAAGAAAACTGAATAGAACTCAGAGAAGCCGGTGCTTGTGTTAGCTCTAGATGTTCCCTCACCACTGAGGCAACTCATTTGGTTAAGAAGACATTTACTGTCATCTGCAAAGTATTTCCCCCGCCTTGGGCCAGAGAAACTTCACAAAATGATTGTGACTGCCTTGACCCACAGGATCCGAGTTCACCCAGTAGGATCTTCCAAAGGCAAAGGCGCGCGCTAGCTCCCGTGCCCCATCAGACAGGACCTCGAACTTTCTCAACACCGCTATCGCCGCCCCCTTTCCAAGTGAGCGCTTCTAGGTTGCAGGTCACGGGCGTGTTTACTAATCCTAGTAGTCTTAAGGACCGAATGAGAGCCTCGAGGGGAACCAACCCACAAACCCACTGAGGTAGATGAGGTTTCTGTTGTATTCATAAAGCTTCCATAGAAGAACCGGCACGCCGTTATGGTTTTGAACAGCCCTTACGGAAAAAAAATGTTTTCTCCTTGTACGAAACTTAAATCCCCACCTACGGAAGCTGAAGTTCATTTCCCCATGTTCTCTTTTTATGATCAAGGGCGAACCCTCCACCCCGGAAGCCCATATTCCTCCCCAGGTTTTCTTGATTAAATGGCCAAGCAGGTAATCAGAGGCCTTGAACTCGATGTTGCAGCTGCTATGGCTAATTAAATGGCAAAGAGCTGAATTCGTAGATATGATTAATACCATCAGGGTGCTGTATGGTTTTTGATGTTCATAAATTATGACTGAACAATAAAATTTTTATATGGGTTATAGGATTTTTCCCTGACTTTTCCTTCTGAATGCAAATCAGAAGAGCCAATCCATTTCTTCAAAAAATTGGTTCTGGAGACCTTTGTTTCTGAAGCATAATTCCGCCAAATGATCTGACTAGGAGAGACTCTTTGCCAGCTAATAAATGTGTCAGGTTATGTTACAGAATACGGTAGTCACTCTTTCTGTCCCTGGTATTCCAGTGGGACATAGACAAGATTTCTCTAAGTTGCATTTTTCTTCCTGCTTGGAGTTAAGCGGCAAGAGCATTTGCTAATGGCTTTTCTCTAATCTCCTCATTTGTATTTCTAGCCAGTCGTTTCTCTGGGCTTTGGGACATAATTAGATGGCCACAAACGGTGGTACTGGCTGCCCAGTCTCTACAACACCCCCTCTGCTGTCCTACTCCGTTAACGGTGAGATGCCGGTATTGCTCGTCCTCCTTTTCTCCCTTTGCGCTCATCGTCAGTCTTTCACCCGGGAACGGGTCACGGAGAGGTTTTAAGGGACTGTTAGTGACGACGCAGAGCCAACTGGCAAGTGGCTCCCATGATGTTTACCTTCACGAAGGACGGGTGTTTGAAATCTCTCATTTTCGGAGTTTCAGAAAGACGGCCAATTCCTTCCTGCGCAGAAGGTACTGAGGCTGCTCCTGATATAGGCTGTCTGAATTCTCTCATTTTTACTCATCACAGTCACATCTGTTTGGGTTTCTGTGTCTCTCCTGGAGATGCCTCTTGAGAGCAGATGCCCTCAGCTGCTTTACAGCTCATCTGAGGCCTGCCAAAAGAGATTGGCAGAGAACGATCAGCATCCTATGCTCTGATAACTCGCATAACTCTCCCTGAGAGGAACGCTAAAACCTGGTTCCCTTTAATATTGTCTAAAGGATGACTTTAAGGATGGGCAAACTGTAGCCTCAACAGGACAAATGACACATCCAGAGTCACACAGCCCATTCGTGGCAGAGGCAGGATTCAAACTCAGGCCTCCTGTCATCCAGGCTAGAACTTTTTGTGAGTTGAGCTCGAGAAAGGAGCGAAGGATGCTTTTTCTTCCTCGAACATGATCAAGGAGCGAGGTGGGTGGACAGCACAATGGGAAGAGGAGGTCTGGGAGGAGCAAAGGCGAGCGATATTGGGAAATTGGGAGCCCTGGGGTTAAGCCGGGGACAGCGTGAACAGGTAGGAACAAAGGAAGACAGGAGAAAAAGGCACTGTGGAAATAGGCGTCAAAGGAAAGCCCTTCATTCTTCCACTCAGATGCCATCCTGCTGGTGGGGTGGCAGTAAGACTGAAAGGAAAGGAAAAATAGCTTCTCTCGGCCTTGGGGGTGGGGGTGGGGGTGGGGAGCTGCAGTTCTTTCTTTCATCATGCCTTCCTAAAATGAACGGGGTCTTGGCACGGTTCTCCTTGGAGAAGTTGAGGCTTCTACTCACACTCATCTTGGAGTTCAGAAGCATCTGAGAAATACACAAGAGCTAGGAAAGGGTGAAAATATCTGCTTGATTAATGGCTAAGCTGATTGCATAGTGATTTGGATCCAAAGTCAAAATGGCTTTCCTTCACTTTTCCCCTGGATGATTTCCCCCCCACCCGGTCCGGGGCCTCTGTGAGTTAAGGGAAGGGACAGGAGACTTCTTATGATCTATAGGCAGTCAGATCACAGAGAGTTAGAGGCCCAGGTGCTCAGCGGAAGGTAAAAGCAGGCCGAGAGGGAGTAGGAACCCCTTACCAGTCCCATTCCACACCCCAAATATTTGGCCCTGGCCAGATCTTCTTCTGAGGCCTCTTTTGGTGAGGTTATTTCCCTTCGGGGTAGCTAGAATTTGAATCCCATACATTCTGGGCTAGGAATCCTCTTCCTACCGTTAAGAATCAATGTAAATCAGTCACTCATCAATTATTTTTCAACAAACGGTTTATTGAGCACCAACTATGTGACAGGCACCGTGCCAGGAGATGGGAATATACTGATGGCCAAGACCCAGTCCCGATTTTCGAGGCGTTCCAAGTCCAATGGGAGCCGAGCAGGGTCCCCCCACCCTGACAAGCATTAATGTCTGCGTGTCGATTACCCTGCAGGGAATTTCAGCCCATTTGGCAGGACGATCCTGGGACCCTCCACCTCAGTGCCTGCAGCCTTCACCCCAGCCTGCCTGTGTAGACACAGAACAGCGCTTCTCACAGGGCAACAGACACTTCAAGACGGGGGAGGAGCGGAAGCCCCTGGCGGGGGGGGGGGGGGGGGGGGGGGGGGGGGGGGGAGAGTGAAATCTGCCAAAGGCTCAGGTGATCCAGCTCTGATGGGCTAACAAGCCCGACAGAGTCTCCTGGCTGGGATCTCAGGCAGGGACCTGGGATCTGGGCATTTGGTTTTGCATCATATCCCGAAAAGATCTGGAAAGCAGGGAGGAAGAGAGGTCCAGCCAAGAATGTAGCGGCAGCGTTCCCCAATACCGCTCACTGTACCCGACCCAAGCTCTCCGCTGGGATCCCGAACCCAAAGGAACGATTTGGGGGCGGAGGAAAAGCGGGGCTGGGACCGCACAAATTGGCCTGAAATTGAAAAGTCAGCAAAAACCACTGGGTGGCAGCGTGGCGTGCGGGCGCAGCTCTGCAGTGCCCGCTGCTGCCGGTGCTGCCGCGGCCGCCGCCGCGAGGGCTGAACCCGTCTGCGAGCCCTGGCCTCTCTCCCGAAGGGCTACAAGTGTCGCCAGGCGAAACGCCTCGGCGGGGGAGTGTGTTTGGGGGAGGGGGCTGCTGGGAGTCGCAGACCCGGGCGGGGGGGGGG